CCATCCATCCATCCATCCATCGTCAACCGCTTATCCTGCGTACAGGGTCGCGGGGGGCTGGAGCCAGTCCCAGCTTACATTGGGCGAAGGCAGGGTACACCCTGGACAGGTTGCCAGTTCATCGCAGGTAGCCAAAAAACTTTTTTTTAAAACTTGAAATCTTGGTGGCCTGATGGTTGAGGCGCACATGTATCCGCAACGTCCTCAGCTCAATGCAGGCCAAGGACCTTTGATGCCTCACTCTTTCTCTGCCATGTTTCTTTTCTGTGTTGTCACTATACAATAAAGGCACAATGCCAAAAAAATAAATAAAAACTTTTCTGGCAGGTGAAAAAGCACTTTTGTGTGTACACTGCAGTCATGTATTAAAAACAAATAAAACAGTATTCAATTTAGGGCTGAACGATATGCAAAAAAAAAAAAAAAATCATATTGTAATTATTTTTTACAGATACAATATAAATGTCACGATTTTAGATAGATATGTTAAGAAATTATGTAAAACCATGTTTTTCTGAATATTATTGTTACTTGTTCATTAATAAACAGCCACATCAAGAAATGAAGTGCTACATGATGTCTCATACTCCTGTTCATTATTTTACATATTGGGAGTATTGGCTCATCTGGACTAACATACCAAAGTAAATGAAGAAATTCTCAAAAACTATCACATCTAGTGCATCAAGTATGACCACTGACAGATGACAGGACAATGTAAGCCTCTCTGTTTCTGCACCACAGTCGATTATAAACCACATAATACGTGAAGTTTACGAATGCATTGTCAGGTGAGGATCAAGGCTCCTCTCGCTTTGCTTAATTAGATAAGCATGCAAATATTACCAAAATGTTTTTTTAATTTTTTGAAATACAACTGAAACACAAAGTAGTACTGACAGCCATAATTTATGCTTGTGGTAAACGGTGCATCATTTTCAATAGGCATTTAGCATTAATTGAAAGTACAAATGACACATTTGTGTGCACAGTGGGGAAGCAATATCCAAAAAAACAGGCTTCTTTTTAATTATTTAATTTTTAATGCAAATTCGGAAAGTATTCATTACTGGTCACTTGATAGGCACACGGTCTTGTTATATATCACCATTAGCAGTAAAAAGAAATACATGTTTTCCTCCAGGGCAGTAAAATGTGAAGCTTAGCCGCTGATCTGAGCTTCTCTGCTGTTACCATTTTATAACCAATAATATTCATCATCTGTCTCAGGAAGGTGTCGAAACATTTCTGTCAACATGACAAAGCCATAACAGAGGCTGGAGAAGAACTACATGAAATTATAATCCAACTACATATTTTTTCTACCAGCGCAGCAAAAGTTTAGCTGCTGATCTGAGCTTCGATGATGGAAGCCTGCGGTTATGTAGATAAAAATGTCTCATTCTAAGGTAATAAAAACATAATGGTTAATAATGTGAGGTCTTTATGCACCACTGAAAACTTAGTTATGGATATTATATTGCATTTCTGTCAATAGATCCTCAGAAATATTACACACTGAACTTTTAAGGGTTAAAATTAAGGTTAGTGTATGTTTAGATGAAATTTGTCAGTACCAACTCACCCTCATGCCATGTACAACCTTGTGTTATATATTGTCTTTGGTTGCTCTGCAGCAACTTCCTGGAACTCTACTGTAATGTACCACCGTGTGCTCCATATGAGCTTGTACTTTCAGAGTCTTAAATATAACTTATTCAAGTTCTCTTTAGAGTAGAAAAGCAAAATGGTACCTGGATTATATTTAGGTGACCTTTTCAGAAAAAGAGAGAGCTACAGCTAATTTGTGTCACAAGAACACATTTTTTTTCAAGTGAGTTGAACCTTTACCCCAGGGTATCTGAAGCTATTCAAGTATCCGACATGCACTTCTTAATACTGGCAGCTTTAGGGTGTTTATACCGTCTCTTTCCAAGGCCGCATGTATTGCAGCCAGGGGAGCGTAGCAGTGTGAAGTACAGTAGGTCAGTGGTTGGCAAGGGAAGACAGAGACAACAACACCCAACAAACCAGTACTATCTCCCCACTTCCTGCTCCGCTCTACTGGGGTCTGATAAAGTCTGGAGCTGCAGAGGGATGGGAGGAGATGAATAAATATTGTACAGGTTCCAGAGATTCAGCAAATCCATGAGGACTATTTCGAGAATATATATTTTTTCTTTTTTTCTTTTGTTTATTTAAAGTTTTCTCTTTAACAGCCCCCTCAAAAGCAGATTTAAGGACAGCCTCTTTTATGTTTTTTTTTAATGATGCTACTGTCAAATGACATTAAGTGCAACAGAAACCTTTTTCGCTTTGCAAATCCACTAGCACTTTGAAATCTATCTGTTCTACCTCACACATTCTCCTGTTAAGTGTGTTGGAAAGTTGTTGTTCTACAACTGCGCCCTATGGTAATAAAATTTAAATCCCTTTTTCTCTCTTCCCCTCTTGTTCTCTCTCCTCTGTCTCTCCCCCTTTTCACTCCTTCTCTTTACAGTTTGACGTGTTGAAGTGCTTATTAAGGTAAGAGAGTCTCATTTCGTGTTTTCCTTCTCTTGTACTTTCTTCCCTCTGATTTTCAACCCATAAAACACAGCATGCCATCAGCACTTGGCACAGTGTGTGTATCACGAAACAATCTGCGTCCTCAAAATTTATTTGGCTGAGGATCCCGCTCACTGAAACACAATAACATTGTGTTAAGATAACAAAGAGACACTCTGGGTAGCACTCTCACTGCACTCCCCTGGTAAAGCCATGATCAGAAATGCACAGACCTGAATATGCAGCCTATAGCTTTATATAGGGAATATACCGCATGTTTATATTTATTTTATATATTATATTTATTTTATATATTTATTTATTTATTTATATATATGTTTATCCTTCCATCAGTTAATAAATAATTTTAATCAACTGGATATATCGTAAGGGCTGTGTAGTAATTCTGCGCAGTACAGACAAAGAGTAATAATAAACGGTAAATCCTTTTCCACGGTGTCTTGCAACTGAATCTTCCTGTCACAAGCTGTTAGTCATAACTGGGTCAAAAAAAACTGCCTTATAGTTTTTAAAAGGCAAGACCACTGTTATTGTTTATTTATGGATTACTGGTTTCAGCTTTAGTAAATCTCAAACTTATTACTTTTCAGGCTGGGATGCTGTGTAATAATATCAGCAGACTCACAATACTTTCAAAAGAAAATTAAATGTGCTACAGTGCCATAAAACTGGACCTGACTGACCTTGTGGTTGGGCATGCAGGATGTGTGTGTGATATCTGACTGCAGTGTACAGTGTGAGCATGGGCAGACCATGCATGGTGTGCATGCGTTTTTGTTACGTGGAAAAAAACTTGTGTCTCCAAATGACTTTGGATTGTAAATTTTTTCACTTTAGAGGTGAGTGATTTGGGTTTATTTAACTTTCTGTGAAACCTCTGTGAATATGTTACAAATTAGGGGTTTCAGACCTAATTTGTAATGTTTTCTCTATGGTGCCCTTAAAATACAGATGAAGTGTAAGATCAGAAGATTAGTGTTTATTGTCTCTTCAGATCATTGTAGTCTGACAAAATATAAACCATTTACTGTATATAAAAAATGTAAAAAAATTGAAAGACATACATACACATATTTAAATGAACCATAAAAGAGTTTTTTCTGCAAAACAGCAATTAAAAACATTTGGCTCAAAAAGGTTGTTAATATTTTTTTCACCATATATTTAAAAATTAAATGCTGCCACATATCAATATTGAGAAAAATCTGTGATACTGTAATCATTGCTGAATTTTGTCCAAGTCACCCACACTTACCTCAGAACTGAGGTAGGTGTGGGATGCCTCCAAAAAAGTTAAGACATAAAAAGGACCACAATTGTAGCTGCAAGGTTTTCTACCAAACACTGATGCCATTTTTGTGTACCCCTTAGTGTTTGTTTGCTTTGGTACCCAAGGTCAGATTTTTACATTTCTGTGTGTGTGTTTGTGTGAGGGCATGTGTCTACATCTTGGTCTCTGTCTCCCTTCTTGTGTGTGCCTGGTTCCCTGTGTTTGGAGTGGGCTCTGTTGGGACTGTGTGTAGAGCCTCATTAGTGGCTAAGGTTTGGCTGGCCCGCTGCTACTTGAGACTCACTCGGGGGCACAAAGTCATATGTTACTCTACTGCTGGCCCATCTGCCACACTGGCCCTTACTTGAGACTCTGAGATCTGGTTCTTTTTCTGTGCATTTGCATCTTTGTAAGCAGTGGTGGAAGCTAACTAAGTACATTAACTAAAGTATTGTACTCTACAGCACTAAAGCAAAACAGATATTATTGTTGTTTAAAGTACCTTAACTGCTTCGAAAGAACTGTGTGTGACAGCCACTGCTGAAACTCTGCTGCACCTCCCCAGGGGGTCTCACAGTTTGAAAACGTGTGTTATAGATTAAACTACACAGTATATAAAGCAGTTAAAACTAGAAGAGTGGGATCTCCACCAGGTGGATCTGGGGGCATGTGGGAGGGGAACAGGGAGTGCAGGGCAGGCTGTGTGTCCAGTCTGTATGCATGAGAGTAGTGGAATGAACGAGAGAAAGCCATTCCCCCAAAACCCATTTTCATGCACAATGAGTGCACGAGCAGACTGTGCGCAGGTAGGCAGGTGGATAGGTAGACAGGCAGGTAGTCAATTGGAATTAATATGCAGATACTCCCTGCTGGATGTCAGTTTTTGAATCACGATAAAGGTCAAAATGTGGCCAGCAACAGACTAGGTCATTTAGCCTAGCTGGTTGACGGAATTGCCTTTTGCAATGTCGTATTGCATATCGTAAAATGGGAAATACTGCTGAAAAGATGAAAGTTTAAGCTTTTCGATTGGTTCAGTCAATAAAATAGGATTTGTGAATCACCTTATCCGCGAGAGGCCTTGAGCATACATTCACAGATGTGCACAAGAGAATATTAGGCTGTAGTAGTAGTGAGATTAGCTGCAGACGGATACACACATGCACACTACCAAACACATGATGGCCTCCTGACTTAAAAATAATGTCATAATGAAATAACACAGACATGGGGCCCAAATGAAGTTTATGTCCTCACCCTCCACCCCCCACCCCCCCAGCAAAAGTGGATTTAATTTCTATCAATCATTAACAATATGGGATATTGAAATAAACAAAAGATCCATATTAGCAAATAGCCTTACTTGCATCAGAACACTTTATTTGTTTATGTGAATTAATCATATTCATGCAACTTAGGTCTGGACAGCATCCACAAGTGATGAATCTGGATGTCAGCTGGTGATTGTTTTGGTGGCTAATTTACTTAATTACGAATTCCTGGCAGGCCAGATACATCGATAAACACAGATAGACATGGATAGGACAGAATGACCCCTGCATGAACTGGTCTAGTGCACAATGTGCACAACAGCTTTAAACAGCTTAAGTTGTGTAATTTGTTGTGTTGTGTTAGTGATGAAACTTGTTTAAAGCCTTAGTTTTAATAGCTCCACTCAGCAGGAGAAAGGTTAATTATCACATCCTGTTACAGACAGACAGGACACCTCCCCCTGTCAAGCACACACACACACACTCTGAGCCACACAAACACGCGAACAACACTGTGTGGGTGTGTGTGGGTGTGTGTGTGTGTGTGTGTGGATCTGTCATATAAAGATGTAATTTAGCATCTGTTTGTCCTCATTTCCCTCATCACTTGATTGAGGCCTTCATTTCTCTTTTGGTTTACTCCCTGCCTCCCTCCTCCTCTCCCATTACTCATATTCACAATATGATGCCACAGTATTCATTCACAGGGTTGTTCATCAGGTAAAAATGGACACAGTCCCCTTGGATCACGTTTCTTCACTTTGATACAATGTGTGAATTGGGCAGGTTTATCACAAAAATGGGGTGCATTTAAAAAAAAACGAAATGACAGATGAGTGGACAGAGGTGTTCAGTGGATGTGAAGCAGAGAACCACAGAAAATGATTTCTCTTGTGTTCTCTGGAAGATGCCAAACACTTTAGAGCAAAAAAAAAATTTAACTGACAACTCAAAACGAACCAAGTAGAAGTAGTGGAATTTCTTTTCTCCTAAAAAATGAACACCTCTACTTTAGATCATGAACCCTTTTACAATATCTCTACACTCTTTCACGTCATCCACTCAACCCTCCCTTCCACTTTATCTTTCTCCTAAAATGTTCCTATCCCCTTCTTTTATTCCCTCTCAAGTGTTTTTCCTCTCAAGTGTTTTTCCTCTTATCCTCCGATATTTGCACACATCCACCCCAGACTTGTGTTGTCTCCCATCCACCTCCTCCCTCTCTCCATCCTCATTTCATTGCCAGTCTAGACAGCTTCAGCAGCAGGTGCTGAGGCTGGTGAGGTGGAGAAAATAGGGTGATAGGGAGCAAGGGAGGAAAGGAGCCAAGGGGATAAGGAAGACTGAGTGAGAACAGAGAGAGATTAATAGATCAAGCAGAGAGGCGTATGATGAAAGTTTAGAAGAGTATGGAGAGGAAAGGAAAGGAGAGGGGTGGTTCAGGTTGAGGCAGGATTGGAGCAAAGAGGAAGGAGGGGGAGATATGAAAGCAGAGATCCGAGTAAATCAGGTAGGTGATATGTGGAGGGGAGAGGTGCGGAAGAGGCTATTTTAATGCAGGGTAGAAATCAGGTGCTGGGGGTGGGGAGAGAAGGAAGTGGCAAAGAAAGGAAGACGGGGAGGAGAGGTGTGGAGCGGGGGGGGGGGGGGGGGGGGGGGAGTCCCAAGAAAATGTAGGGGCTAAGTGAGAAAGAGGAGGGAGCACAAGGATGGATGGATGGATGGAGTATGTGTAGGGGAGAGGACAGGAACAGCGTTGTTGTGCTTTTACGGGAGGACACCGGCTGCAAGGAAGTGAAGTGGGTAATAAGGCCATAGCTCATTCCTGTGGAGCAGCCTCTATCCTATTAGTGACTACCTCTCACTGGATGACTTATATGCACCTCGTTTTTCACCAAAAGTATGACAGCAGATGCTTGGTAAGAAACAAACACATGCGCACACACATACACGTTCACACAATCACAGGAGCAGTGACAGGAGAAATCTGCTGCTACCTTCCAGATGTGAAGACAGAATGCCATCAGTGCAAAAAAAACAAAAACAACAGCTTACGATAAAGTGTCAGATGGTAGAATTACTTTAGAAATAACTGAAAAAATGTTCTACATTCTAAAATGTGGAGGCTATCAGGAGACGTTACTTAAGAGGGTTTACCAGGCAGCCAGTTTTGAGAATATTTGCTGACCATTAACAGTTAGCTTAATGTTAACCTGTTAACAGGTTAACAGGTTTTAAATGTTTAGGCTTAACAGTGGTTAACGTTAGCAAGAAAGCTAAGAATGCACAATATGTAAACAAGACAACTGTGAAATTGTGTCTTATTTCTCCTCTTTTAGCAAAAGCTAACTGCCTCCCCACTTCTCCAGCCGCATTGCCAAGCTAACGCATACTGAATCATCAAACTGCTGCTAAGA